CACACACACACACACACACACACACACACACACACACACACACACACACACACACACGCGAAATGTAAATTAGATCGAGCAATTTCTGCGTGGTACATCTTGGGTAATGCTAATTCCGGAGATACTATAACTTTAAATTTCATTACTCAAAAAGTATTTAATTAAGAATGACGTTATTATAGTGTTTTAAAGAGCTCTCGAGATAAGCTATAAGAATATGCCATAAAATATAAGAGATTTCATTTAAAAAAATCAATTTAACCTTGACCTGATCTTGATAATGACATTCAAGATTAAACAGATATTACCATTAAATTCTTTATACCTTATAACTTTCGTCTAAAACATTTTTTATCTAAAATGCACTATATCTAAGATATTAGCCTGGGGCGCTTAAAATGAAACACCCTGTAGATATAGACAATATAAATGCCGACACTAATTTGGCCTACAGCTTTTCAAAAGCCTCTAATGCTTTCTCACTTAACTCAAAAGAAACATTTTTTCGCAACAAATCATATAACACTTTAACTATTAACAAAAACTCCTCAATAATCTTTGGGAAATAAGAATACACTCCAGTAAATTCACACACTTCTCTAACGTATTTTGGTACTGAAAAATTGTACATTGCATCAATTCCTTCTTTAGTTGGGCTTATACCGTTTTCGGAAATGACATAAGTATAATAACTCAGTATATAAAAACTTACGGTTATCGATTCTTAAGTCTAAAATATTATTAACTAATAATCTAAATACTTTTTGCAACATATGAAGATGATATTTAATTGTGGAATTTGCAATCATAAAATCGTCCATGTATATTACTAGATCTCATAATATTCGGAACACAAGATTGCTAATTGTCCCGCATACGGAAAGTACACACGTGTTTCTAAAATTTTCTTAAATTTTTGCAAAACCTCTTGTTTCATAAAATTTTGCGCACACATGGAGCGCGACTTCCCAAGCTTTATTCTTCTCCGACGCTTTCGCTTCTTTGTGACGAGCGGCCTGAAGGTTGCACGTCACAACATTCCGGAAACGCGAACGCGACATATGCATCGAGCAAGTAATATCCTGATAGCAAAATGTCAGCAGTATGCCGGCAGACTGATGGCAGATTCAATCAAAGGATTATAGCAGATTGGCATCAACTGTATACACATTATGCTCACAATCTACTGGCAGCGCCTGCCAAAATCATTTGACGGCAGACTGATCGCAGAAAATGTATAGATCCTGTTGTGCGCAGTCTGACAGCAGATTGACGGCGGAAACGCATCAGATCCTGCCGTTCGCAGTCTGACGGCAGAAACGCACCCAGATAACACAAAATATTTATAAAATTTATTTGATTATTTTTTAAATACTTACCAAAATATTTTATAAATATTTTTGTGACCTTAGATTCAATAGATCATAAATATTTATCATAAATGTTATAAAAATATTTATTAAAATATACACATTTATATACACTTTTCTCTTTTCCTGAATTTTTCTTAAATTTTTCACTTTATTGTTTCACATGCTACTTAATTCAAGTTAAATTGTACTTCGAAAATTTGCTTATCATTGCTAAGATTCGAACCTGAGACTTCTGGTTTTTAAGTTGTTTACCTTATTTATTGCACCACTGTCACTTTGACTGAGAGTGAAGTACTAAAAAGACGAAAATGAAGGACATAAAAATGGCAGAATCTGCTGCGTTTCTGCCGTCAGACTGCACACGGCAGGATCTGCTGCGTTTCTATCGCCAATCTGTCGTCAGGTTGCTAAATAGGTTCTGTTTAAATTTTGCTATTAGTCTGCTATCAAACCTGTTTAACAGATCTTGTCTAAATACTGCTGGCATTCTGTTGAAATTATTTTATACTACAGAGCCCGTAACAATTCTAACACCATTCTGCGTACAAAGTCTGCAACAAGCGTTTGGCAAAATCTGTTCCCTGCAGACTTGGCTATTAGGGATAGATTAACCTTTAGACTGCCGGCATTTTTTTCATTAAAATAGTGTATTTTTTTCTCAAAAATTTTTCTATATAAATACTATACACATGGCGTAGAATTTTGAGATTTATGCAAAGCCACAAAAGTGGCTTTCCCGGCAGGGAACATACGATCAAATATCAAAAATTTTTATTTTCTCAAAAATAGTATATTTAGGGGTTTTTGGTATCGCTGATTCCAATTCTGAGCATAGATTTATGAAATTTCGAGCCCTAAGCGCAATATTGACAACATAAATGAATAACGTATAGACGCAGATAACTTTCCTTTAGCATTACCCAGAACTAATGACGTGGACATAGAAAGTTTGTAGCTCCTTTTTAACTTTTTATTTGGTTTTTTTATTTAATTTTTTGTATTTTTTTGTTACTTTTTTGCTTGTTTCATAATTTTTTACTTTTTTATATTTTTTAATTTTTTGTATATTTTAATTTATATTTATACTTATATTTTATTTATTTTTTTATACATTTTATGATTTTTATTTCTTTTTATTTCAACTTTTTGCACTAATTATGGCAAAATTTCTTTTGAATGATAATTTTCAAAGCAGGGTATTATGCATAATGAAGTATTACAATTAGTGCATGTGAAACGAGTTCGACATCTTTTTTTAGATAATGCACACAAAGCACATTATTTCATCGATTTATTTTCGAAATGTTTCGGAAAATGTTTTCCTATTAGTCGAGAAGGACCTGGCTGAACAGATGATGAAACATTAGGATCAAGTTTTAGTAAAGCTCTCACTATTTCAAGTCAAAAAGCAGGGAAAGATATGTTTTCGTTATTTATTTTATATAATACATGAGCATTTGTCAATGATAAGCCTAATAAATGAAAGAATAGCTTACGATACCACTTCATTGTCTTTCTAATACTTTCAGTCAAGGATAATTGCCTATCGATATTATCATATCGATACCACTCATATTTTTATTGTACTCGATAATTGTATTTTCATCATTAAAGATTAAAAGTAATGAATTTGTACTACTATTGTTGTTACAGTTTCAAGCCATGATCTTATCAAGCACATATTTATGTCAAGTATTACGATCACATATGTAATGTTCTAATGACCAGAAAGTTTGGATAGGGAAGTAAAGATCTTTTTTTAACATTATCTAGATCTTCCATTAATAAATATCTGTTAATAAATGTAATCACATTATGATAAGGTCTAGTATTAGGAAATATGCTGAACCAGAATTTGTTTAGACATAATTGCAAAATATTGCTATTCATACAGGCGATATTAATGTTCAGTAATAGTAACAGCTTTTTGCAGTGATCCTTATATTCTAGATTACATAGCATTTGGTGATCATCACAAAAATAAGCTGAATAGCAAATGATGCAGAGCTTTATGTTTATCCATCGGCGATACTTATAATACTATTTTGGGCATAATGTCATATCTATTACGTATACCTGACGGATGTACACCTGACAGATTTAAATTATTAAAATTTCCTTCCATACTTCTCTCTATTCTTCCTAAATATGATATATCTTCCAATCCGATTTGTCAATTATGATACTTGCTAGGTCGCTGCAGAGTTCCAGGGGTGAGCTTCCATGTATCTCTTCATGCTTCTTGGAACAATAAGAAATCATTGATTATAAAGTTATCAAATTTGTGCTGGGCAGTTTGCAAGCATGATAAATGTTTGGATGGAAAAACTGATTATATTTGTATTCTGTGTATGGTTTATCAAGAGTTATTATTTCGCCTATACTCGTCGCGATATGTCTTAGTAATGACCGTTCATGAGTATTTTATTTGTAATATTTACTTCGATATAACGCGCAAAGCTCAGCAACTCACAGAATATAACAGAAACTTGTATGCGAGTTATATATAGGTGTATAGACAATAATAGTAAGACAATAATGCTATTATATATTTTGAAAATATGAGAAACAAAATACTGTTTACACTTGAACATATATCCCAGTAAAAAGTTTCTTATATATTCTCGAATATTATTAAAATTTGTGTATCATCAACTATATAAAAATGAAGATAGTATCAAACAATATATTACCTTCAACCTTTGACTGGGTCGGTCATGTAATTTAATTAAATTTATGTAATTTAATTAAATTCATGAATACATAATAAAATACGCATTTCGGTAACAACATCTTCCAGTTTCATAGTTTCTATATGGCCTATACCCGCGGAATTTATTTTTTCTGTACAAGCGTTTTCTGGTTTCACCTGTTATATCTTCTATTTTATTTATATTTCCTTTCACTGCCATTTCCGTGTCAGCGATTAAAAGTAATGGACACCTTTGGGCTATTATTGCTGTTATAGATCCAAGCCATGTTCCCATAGAACTAGTTTGTGTTTGAAGTACAATCACATTTGGCGGCTCATATGACTGTGAGCGTACATACGTGTAGTATGTTTCTGATACATTTTTAACATAAAGTTTCTGATTATGTTGACGGCACATTGCACAACCAAACCCTAGATTGCGCGATTCGAAAATTGGCGATTTTATAAGTACAATATACAATTCCTTTATCGTATAAAAACGATGTAAGAAAATATGCCAAATTTCCAAGGATATTACATCTATTCTGTTTGCGTCTATAAGATGAACAATGTATTTACGTGTTATGCGTGGAACAGGTAATAACTTTGATTCTGCCAACGCGTAGTACAGTGTCAGCGGACTGGATACAGCCTCAGAATATACATATTGCTCTATATCCCAGTGAAGATTTGAATTAGGAGCAACATATATCTTATTACGAATAAATTCATCACTACTGAGTACATAGGAATTAATAAATGTAATATTGTCATGAACATCATTATAAATATAAGGAAATCTGGAGAATTTCCTTTTTTTATGAATAAGAAACTTTTCCATGTCGCAGATAATATCGCTTATATTCATGTTCAGTAATATCAACAGCTCACCGCACTCCTTCCCATGTCCTTCCCATACACTACATTGTATTTGGTGATCATCACAAAAATTAGCTGAATAGCAAGTGTTGCAAGGACTTATGTTTATCTGTCGGTAACACACATAACACGACTTTGCATATAATATCATCTCCTTTTCGTACTGGTATACGCAACGTGACAGACTAGGTTGAATTTGTTGTAAAATGTCGTCCCGTGATGCTAACCAATGTTCCAAGCTAGGATACGTATCCAAGAAAGATTTGTTTGTTATTATCCTTGTCACTGCTATGCATATTTCCGAGTGTGAGTTTCTATGCAACTCCTTATGCTCTTCGGAACAGTAAAAAATCATATTGCAGAGATTACACGTTATCAAGTTTCCGCTGGGATATTTGCAAACATGACAAACGTTTGGATTGAAAAACTGGTTGTATTTGTCTTCTGTGTATGGTCCAATAAAATATATTACTTTTCCGTTATTCATGGCTATAAATATTATTAATTATCATTTATATGAATAATGTTTGTAACATTTATTTCAGAATAATGCGCGAAACTGGACAACTCACGTAGTGTCATGGAAATATTTATATGGATTAGATACAGATATTTAAACAATAATAGTACACGGGACATTAGTAACGGATACATCGATATGTTTATATCGAAATACTTATTGACAAGATAAATTGTAAATATCCGTATGACACGAACTAGAGATATTCGTCAGTGTAGGGAAACAATATGATACATTTCTTATGAAAATCTTGTTGAAAGACTGATAATATACTTCAAAGTTTATCAAGAAAAATTTTAGAAAATTTGTGATAATTTCCAGCGAAAACCTGCAGTATTTTGGTAATGTTCTCTAATGATCATTTTAAATGAATTAATCCATTAAATAAAAAATTCTTTTTATCCGAAGCCATCAATTTTTCCTTGCACTGACAACGGTAAGGATTACTTAACGTTGAAAATGAAGCGACAGATGGTGATCTAAGTGGATCTAACTATGTGTTCCTAAGACTTATATAACGTATCGTTACATAGTATATTATATATCACAGAATATTATAATATATTTATTCATAAATATTGAATTGATGGATCAACATTAGATATGCGACAAATATTGATATAATAAATATTGGTGCATCAGTGATTACACTATTGCTTCTCAGTTTTCAACGAAATAATATTATGATTAATCTGAACAGGAAACGGTTTAAAACAACTTACTGAATAATCAAAACTTTACAAAGTTTTTGAGATATTATTTTAAATATTAACCTGTTTTATCCTGTTTTAAATATTAATACTTCATTAACGAACAACATGGATACATTTTAACGACATAACAGAGTTTTATTTAAACAAGTGATTAAGTTATATAAACATTAAATATAATATTTAATAAAAGACACACAAACTAAAGACAATTGAGGAATATTAACTGCTGTATAATTGTACATATTTATATATAAATTAGGTATATTTATATATAATTATATTTAATGAGGGATTATATATAAAATTATACCTAAGCAGCCTGATACAAAATTATGAACAAAGTCGTGTAAAATTATGTATAATTAATGTAACTAATTACACATAATCTAATATTCTGCCATTTGATTTTG